ACAAAGATACGGTGGTATTCAATCCAAATTCAACAGAACTAAAATTGTGGTAAACAAAATGGGACACTTTTAAAAAGATGTTGCGAAACCGAYAAAAAGACTGTTACCAGATAATGAGCCAATACCTTTGGAGATTCATCAATATGATGAGAAGTACTGTACTTCCTAAAAAAAAACAATATTTAACAAACTATTCACTTGCCTCTATAACTTTCATGTACTTGCTAATGTGATCAAACATCTCTCGACGATTTGCTGGCATCCATTCACGTGAACACTGATAGAGTCTTACCGATGGTCCTGCAAGCACTACTCCGAACGTTGACTGGAAGTCGAAAACCTTTTGAATGCGTATACTTCCCGACTTTTCGAACTGGTCCTTCTTGGTGCCTGCTTCGTTAGCATCCATCAGCATTCCTGTCACCTTCCGACTTGTCAAAGCTTCAAAAGCCTCATCGAAATTGGAGTAATTAATCTCTGTAGATTTTTTATTGGAAGAGCAAGACTTAATGACGTAATAAAGTAAAAAATAATAATGCGAGAAGAATAAGAAGTATATGAAAAACAAGAAGAAAAAGACGTGGAGATTGGGAAGGGAAGGAGATGAGGAGAACGAAGAAGAAGAAAAGAAGAAGAAGAAGAAGAAGAAGAAGAAAAACAACAATAACAACAACACTAACAAGAATGAGAACAAGAAGGCTGAAGCTAAGAACAGGTTAAAGAACAAAACTGAGAACTTGCACGACAAGTTGCATAAGGTTAAGAATGTGAAATCCAGCTGGAACTGCGAAGCCAGAAATATCCCGGTAACAGTAGAAAGCGAAGCATCGACAGACAATATACTACAGTACAGAGTATCATATTCAATTAGACAACGACTTACTTAAGCTCACTTTTGCACCTCTACGAACTGCAAACCTATACTCAGGAGAATTGGAAATGGCAGCAACCTAAATGTGAATGAATCAAAATTCAACGGTTATACTTAATTCAGTTTTAATTCAGACGACATCTTCTAATTCTTTTATAAAATAACAACAATTAATGACTTTTCGCTTAAAAAATYCGCGTTTCTGTGCTTTCATAAAAACACCGTTTTTTGCACATTTCAACCAATCAACGCGCGCATTACATAATTGTTATTTAAAACACAAGTTCAGTAGTTACTSACCTCGGAGCCATAAATATTTGTTTTGGACTTGTAGACAATAGAAGTGAATGCAGTGCAAATTGAGCCGCTTAAAATTCCATATATAGCAAGTCCTGTAAGGACCCAAACAACTGCAAATGCTTTGCTGTGATTGGCCACTGGAACCTTATCACCATAGCTGCAATGAATGTGCACGCCTGTTTCAATCAACGTTAGTTTTTTGAAATAGTGGGGGCGAGAGGCATGCTGGGATTAATTTAAGGAGTGGCGACGTATATTTTCATGAACAAACAGTTGAGTGTCTTACCCAAGCGTAGTCATAGAAATAAATGCCCACCACSAGCCACAGGCCATTCCCCTCAAGTAAGAATGCGGAAATTGTTCCTCGTTATATGCTGTGTCCTGTAGGATATAAGCGTAATACAGTCATAACTTTCTTCGAAACTCGATAGATATGTTTACCTATACAATACGCGAGGTAATGAACGAGCTGCTTGATTATATGAGTTCCGTGTTCTTTTATTGACACACTCGCACGTGACACAATGAAATGTTCATAAAATCAAATGGTCCTCTGCAAACGTTCGAACATTTCAGATCACGTTCAGAGCCTGTGTCAGTCAGGAACACAAAACGAATAAAATCGGCCTATGCTATCATTTACACATTTTTAGTTTAAAGGTTTGGGAAAATCATTCTTTTCTCTCACGGCTGAGACGTGATAGCATCATCACAATGTGAATGTCCTGCTATAATCAGCCAGTGTGAGCCCAAGCATACACACAAGTGTGGTACAATAACTCAAAGACCTTTGAGTAATTCGCCTGTTAGCCCAAACTAAATAGAAAATGCATGGACATAATGATTTTGCTAAAAAACATTGGCAATTGAAGTGTTTCAGTTGCTAAAGGCGCCTAATTTTTTGTTCGAGGATATACTAACCAAGAACCACATGATGATCCCAGCAATGAGGGTCATCAAGCTCACAATAAGTATATAMGGCCACGTTCCTAATGTCGACATTAAAACCGCTTTCAATGGAGCGTCCTTCTCTGGATCCATRAGCAGAAAGGCGAATCCTGGCGACTCAACRAGAGGAATGAAACGAAAGATTTCTGCATATTTTGTCTGCCATTTCCATCCATAAATTGGAAAGCTGAGGTCGTTGGTGTCGTCAATCAATTTGACCACATCATTTTCGGTTTTCTGGAATGCCGATTGTTGGTGACCATTTGTGACAAAGTCTACGTATGACGTTCCATGAGACTGACAACTTTGACAGCAGTCCACAATTAAATTATTCAATATCCATGGAATCATTCCTGACATGTTTACTTGCTTGAGATCTTCAGAAATCAATGCAGCGTTGTATGGTGGAAATACTCGGTAGTTTGTGGCAATCCGTTTGAAACAGCGACAAGTCTCTGATAAAGACGATAAAGATTACACCCATAATCAGATCTACGTACTATTCAGCTGTCTCCACGCATCCGTCCATCGAAACTCACCTCACCAACTCCACTCTCAATCAAACTTTTCGATATTACGCGACACGTCTCTAGCTGTCTCACTCATTCCTTGGTTCACTAACAGACTCATCCATTTATTGATGCAGGGGMAGATCCASCTGGTGTATGCAGGCRGTGCGCTTCCCACCCCCTCCCACCSCAATCCCCCAAGATCTGGATCCTTCAATACTTTCATTATTTTGTATCATCCCTGAGGAAAATCCTGGRTCCCGTCCCTGTGATGGATTGACTCACTAAARGAGTGATAAAATCGATAAAAGCAACTTACGTCCAGACGATATCCCAGAAGGTCCTCTACCACCGCGACTGAAACCAGACACGTGCACTTCATAATGTGCAAAGTTCAAGAGACCTTTGATAGTGGCYTGAAGACTACTTTTCCTGACAGTAAAGTATTGCCAAGAAGCTTCTTCAATTTGTACGTCTCCAATTGAGAGTACCTTCCAYGAGACACGGTATCCCAAAGCCCTCTCGACCATAATAGGGTCAGGKATTGGGCTCCATGTTACGGGTATCGCTGTAGGAGTTGTGAGATTGAAAGCTAATACATTCATCGGTTGTTTTTTTGGACCTGAAAGAAAGATAAAAGTGATCATGTCCCAGTTTCGTCGACATTTAGTCTGAATTTCTACGCAAAATATACGGTGTGAGCAAAACAAGTGACCCACCAGCAATCTAAGAGTTGCAAAATCACTGACGACAGCCATTAAATCAAATATGGTTTTTCATAACTTGGTGGAAAGTGAATAAAATTTCTGCCTAGAAATAAAGTCTTTGCGAAAAGACTTYTTTGGCTCCATCATCCCACTCGGCCTCTATATGTACTAATATAATTTAATTYAGTTACCATCTTTATCTATTGGCGCCAAATCATAGGATACGTTGCCATCGCCTCTACTTGTGAACGCCAAGAGCTGTATGGAATAGTTGGCATCCATATTCATGTTTTCTAGGGTGTATGTCTTCACAGATGGCGTGAAGTTCAGTGTTACTGGAGGTGAGTTGAGTAATTCCTGGTAAATCAGTCTGTAGCCTCGAATGATACCATTTCGGCAATAGCGATTAACCTCTGTCCACATTACAGTCAGTTGAGTGTATTTAGGTATGTCAAATGTAATAAACGCTGGTGGTTCGCAAGGAACTGAAATAAACTATGAATTAGTAAAGGAAAGAAAAGGTCGAAAAAAGGTATTTCTAGGGACACGGCTGCTACACTAAGGATCAGCCGATCCTGTGAAAAATTTCAAGTCCGTAAGGAGAACCTCCGGCTTCACAATGTTATCAAAATATGAAGGGCTATTATCGATAATAGATATTTACACTTTTGTTAAACATTATTCTCCCCTTGGGCCTCCTCCCATAGCTTTTACCCAGATTAAGACTTTAAATACACTCACTAGATTCGTCAGTAAATAAAGCTATCTCCTTCGTCGGTACTCCAGGGCGGACAGTAAAACCTGCAACTTGAACGGTATAGCTGGTCCATATTTCCAAGTTGGTCAAGTTAAACTTGAATTCAGGGGTTCTTCCAGGGGGGTTGATACGAACACTGTCAATAGTCACAGTGCKATTTTCCAGTACAACTATTGGCCACTCAGTTTTCCAGTAGTATATGACAAAGTATCGGATAATGCCGTGTCGATTGTCTTCTGGAACATTAGACCAGGTGAAGAGTAGACTTGAAGCGCTTGAATTGACAACAGTGAGGTTCGTAGGTGAAGCTGTGGGAGCTGATGGAATATGAACATTTTTGTTAAACTGAAATACAATGACCAGACGATACAATTGAAAGCGACAGAAAATGTGGATTTTAATGAAAACATAATTAAAACTCCATCAAGAGACCAACCGAAGAGTAAATGAAAAAATTCTATTTTAGACACAAGCCCCAAAAAGTGGCCCCACCAATTCAGTGAGTCGATCTATCATTCGACTAGTTAACCTATAAGCCCTCCCATCTTTTGTCATAATCATGTACCGACCAATACTGATTGCTCGTGTCAATTTTCAAATCAACCCGTCAGCCAACCATTTGTTCCATAAAACAGCGAACAAAGCAATTCACCCATTCTGAATAAGCCAATAATAAGCCAATAAATAATCACATTTGCCAATATCCAAATAATAAGTCATCCCACAATGAATCGTCTTATTCAACAAACAATCAAAAATAGGYATCCTTCAATGAACATTTACTAAACAATTTATCATGACCTGTCATTTAAAAAAATATATTGACTCGCATAACAGACGACCAAAGTAGTCAGTTAACCGATAAAGCCAGCAACGTTTGTTATGTTGGCAAAACCCATAACACTGGGTCCACCTGSCAATATCAACTCAATTAATCAACCAATCAATCACGTCTTTTTGATCCATGAAACAGCCATCTAACTTAAATCCACTTAGCCCAATGATTAACTGCGTCAACTTGTGGTCAACCTTCTAGACTATCCAACTAAAGAATATTTATTATAATCSGCTTAAAAAACCATCGACCCCAAATWAATCAACACGAAGATAAGAGAGGTTTCCAATAACAACCTACCATCTTCTGCTGTGGTGACCTCGATCACAGGACTTAAAGGTCCATCGCCAATTGTAACGCCATACACTTGAAATGCATACTTTGTAAACTTCTTCAAGCCAGTGATAGCTCTAGTGTGAGGATCGAYGGAGATAGCTCGTCTGCTGCGTTTCGTTGGTAMATAGGTRATAATTTSTACTGATGAATTCCYCAAAGCTACTTCGTATATAATAATCCTRTATTCTCGAATCATCCCATTTCGATCACGAGTAGGAATATCTTCCCATGAAATCACGATAGACGTAGAGCTTGAATTGAAACCTTTTACGTTAACGGGAGCTTGTGAAGGAACTAGAAAGAAACTGATTGCTTTAGAAAAGATTATCCCTCTTACTATAGATAAGTAACTATAGCATGTGTTGCTTTTTGAATCATTGCTATTATTGAACGTTAGTACATCATTGTCATCCATATTGTAATTATCATTATAAAACTTATTAATAATGCATGAGCTATTACTCCAATAAGGGTTGTCCATTTCATCAGGTGATTGAACTTGTAAATCAGATACAACACTGTGATACAACACTAGTGTTGTATAAGATTTACAACACGGTCGTCACCTTGAGACAACCCAACACTAGCAAAGGTCTCAGTTTTAGTGTCGCATCATAGACCTTCACTAGGTTTTGAAGCAATCAAAGACGGATAACAGACCTCGCTTATGCAACAGATTGGCTTGCTTTCCATGTGGGATGGATAATTATTCAAAATGTTCTGTGTTGCAGAAAATTGCGCATGCTTAATAGCGACTCAACTCAGCAGTTTCCTTAATTGCCATTTTTTGTCATTTATCTCACTGTAATTCATGTTAATTTGTGTTGGAGTTTTATAAGTCGTTTACAACATTCGCGTCCGTGTTGTATGGGAATTACAATCTCTCGCCTGCGGCTCGAGATTGTAATTTCCCATACAACACGGCCGCTCATGTTGTAAACATTACATATTAACTGTTATTGTTATTATTATTCACTTAATTTTCATCGTTGCTGTTATCTTTTATATCCAATAAAAATAAAGATGCTAGCTTAGGATAATGATATGCAATTAATAAAATTAGTAACAGTGGTATATGACACTCAAATGTTTATATCTACCATCTTCCTTTGTGAAACATGTAAGGCTGACACTTTTGTTCCCAGCTCCGTAAATGTTAAATGCAGCGACCTGGATATCGTATTTCGTGTATTCTTCCAAGTCTTGTAGGACAAAGCTTGTGGTATTCTGTCCTGWCACAAKAACCATTTTAGTATCATTGSTCCCCTCTGGMGTGTAGTAGATGGTATATCCAATTACACGACCATCGGGATCCGGGTGACTGTTGTTGGTTTCTGCCCATGAAATGGAACAGTTCTTTGCTGTGCTGCTTTCTTTTTGGCTGATGAATGCTGGCAAGCCGTCAGGGGCTGCAAGAGAAATTGTTTAAAACGTATTGTCGAGGGATCGATCTAAGATAGGATTTGGATAAAGAAATTAAGAGAGGAGGCCATTACAGTGCACTTACGAGGTAACACTTTCTTATCAGTCCATATATGGGCACAGTTACTTTTAACTCCGACATCAATTGTAAAACCGGCCACCTGAAAAGATAGAAATTATCAATTATAACTCTTATGATAACAATTTCATTTTCAATACGGCTTATAATAGAATGGCCTAAAAATACCGGTGACACAATCGTCTGAAACTAAACGATAGTTTCCCATTTGACATCAATATTTCCAATGTTAAAAAAATTTGAAACATTCAGTTTGTATATATTTTGACAGAAAACTCAGGAACAAATTAGCAGTTTATGCACCACTTAGCGGAGACAATCAATCCATGAACATTGAGCTCAAAACAGAGCAAARGACATGGGGTTCTGGGATCAGGAACAAAGCAATTAAAACCATCGAACAACGGGTTGACAATACCTGGATGCAATACAGCGTGAACAACTCCARCCCATYGATAATAATATACTTCTGGGTAACTGGTACAGAGATGTTTAAGGTAGTATCCAGTGAGGCGTTCCAAATGCGATAGTATATAATCCATTGACGTAGAATTCCAACTGGCTGGACAGATAAACCATCCCACTGCACTCTTATTGAATAGGCAGTAAGGTTATTTCCAGTTACGTTTTCTGGCGGGTTCTTTGGAACTGACACAAATAAAAGCGTTAGATTATGTCGAAAGGCCGGGGTTAGATTACGTTACATGGGTTAGATTATGTCGAAAGGTCTAGATTATGTAGACATGGTTAGATTATGTCGAAAGGGTTAGATTATGTCAACTTTGTCATCAATTTACTACATTGAAGGCCAATAAATATTTCATTCATTGAGCATCTCATAATATTTTCTGGAAAGATGGATTTCATCATAGCTGAAACATGAGAAGCCCTAGACTTGGTACAGGCATGAAATTAAGACGTTGATGAATTATGATTGGTACGTCATAAATATCAATCATTTGTGCGCAAAGATTCTCGAATGCACTTAGAACTTTAAGCAACAATATGTTTATTACCATAATGATAACAGACTAGATTTTAACTTACAAGTTCATTCAGACTAACCTGCTTCAAGTGTCATACAAGTAGCAGGTGTCTCGCTGTAGTTTCCCATCTTGACAGTATACCCAGCRATCCTAACCTCGTAAAGACTRAACTCCTTCATTGGGCCGACACGGATATAACGAGCAGGAGAATTAGTGGGCAAAGAGAAAATAGAGCCTGTTCCGTTTAATAGTCTGAACTGAAGGACATATCGCCTTACAATCCCTTGTCTTTGAATTTCAGGAATCTCAGACCATTTAGCGCTGACTTGCTTCGATGTTATGGGTGTGCACGTCAGATTTGGTGGTGCCATTAGTGGAGCTACAAGGATATGAAGTGTTAAGTATGGGATGAGCAAATGGAAGGATGAATGTAACAAAATCGCAGCAACAATTATATACAGTGAATGGCCGAAATAGTTATCACAACTGGACATGCTCAGATATTGCATTGAGCTTCTCAGTTTCGAATCTTTAACAACTTTACACCATAAAAGTGTGTTTTAACATTTTTTGCTTGTTTTCATGCACAGACAAATCGTCGCGGAACAACAAACKAAGCTATTCAGGAATTTACAAAAAAGGTGGAGAAGGGGTGCTAAGTTTTCTACACACAGACCTCTGGAGGCTGGAGTAAATAGTGGGGATACAGGGGCATGCTTTCCGGGAAATTTTGATATTGAGATTTTCAGTATTTAACAACGATTTTTTTCCTATCACCTTGGGATTATTATTTGTGTGCTCGACTGAAGAATACCACCATCATCCCCATTACACGTATCAATTTTGTTTAAAGCTGAATAATTTCACTGGCTCACATTTGCATTTATTTGGCACACTTACCATCTTCATCCGTCATGCATTGCAATTCACTTTTGTTACTAAGACCAGCCGAGTTAAAGGCTTGGATTGTGATATTATACAGGCGGAAGGGTTTTAAATTCMCAATCTTTGCGTGTAGGCAGCTACTGAGTATAATTTCAGGCAAAGATTGCTTAGAATCAGTAGAATTAGTGTCATTTATAGCTATCCGGTAGCCTAGGATTATCCCATTAGCTTTAGCGATGTCTGGTGCCTTCCAGGAAATCGAGCAGTTCTCGGTACTTTTTGAAACAACTTTTAACTCTGAAGGGAMGTCATCAGGTACTAGGACGAGAAATTACACATTAGACAATAACAATATGTTTTTGTATGTCGGGCATCTCAAACATAAACATCTTGAGCCTAAACATATGCAAAATTAGAAAACAAGTTGCTCGAAGGACCTTTGGTTTTGGACCAAAGCAGGACAAAATTGGGCAACAAATTCAAAATTTCCTTTTTTTAGCTTGTTTATCTTTTTTGCAATGTCATGAAAAAATAATTTTTGTTGTTGAAAAAAGTTATGATTTTGACATGACTTCAAGTTGGGATAGTTGTTCATTTGAAGACTGCAGAAAAGATGTTACAAGGTGCTTTTGGTTTTAGCCGTWGAAAGGTCTATGGCCTCCTTTAACAACAACAACAACAACAGTAACAGAAGCAAGAACAAGTTCTACTACTGCTACAAAACAAAGCAATTATCTCTGTACCGTCTTCCTGCGTTCTACACGTAAGATTTGCGTGAGGACCACTGCCCTTGTCTGTGAAGGCAGCTAGAGTAACATTGTAATGGGTGAATTTTTCCAATCCAGTAACCTCTGTCGAGTTGGTTGAAGATCCTTCCACCACGACATGTTTGATTTTCGTTTTAGAATCACCATGTTTCAAATAGGAAACATTATAGCCCATTATGAATCCGTTTTGAAATAGTAATGGTACTTGTCCCCAGGAAACACGGCAAGAAGTGGACGTACTGCCCACTGCGGTGGTATTCGTTGGTGGAGCACTAGGAACTTAAAATATGATGAATAAATACGATTAGTAACGACAGCCTACTATATAAGACTGGAAAATAACCGCGCTGTAAATTTGATGTAAAAATGATGTAATATGTACATGATTTTGGACACTTACATAATATTTACATGACATTTACACMCTTTTTTCAAACKATGTAAATTCAATGGAAATATTGTGTTAATTAAAATCCAAATTTACACGATATTTCCATGATTTTGGACACTTACAGGATATTTACAACCTTTGTAATTCTCATAGATTGATTTTACATCATATTTCCATCAAATTTACAACCTTCAAGGGGCGCGATTTTTTCCAGTGTGATAAGTAGTGMTAAACTACAATTCAAACACCGATGGAGATGATTTTGGATTACCTGTCCCCCTTGTGAAGCAATAGACTGGTGGACTARMTGGGCTGAATCCTGTATCAGCAGTAAYAACCAACACAACACTATACATCCTGTACGGTTCGAGACTCCTTAAMACTGCGCTCGTATTGCAAGCTGCAATCTCAACGTAAGCCTTTTYGTTGGTCAAGAGATTTACAAACGTCAAGCGATACGATGTTAGGTTGCCATTAAGCGTTTCTGAAGGGGGCGGGTTCCACGTTACAAAGCACGTACTTGTATCATCGTATGGTGCTGTAGCATTGTGTGAAGACACGTTGCCAGGAGGTGCTGTAGGACCTGAGTAAAAGGTTAAGTTTACTTTACGTAAACGTGTTTTAAATATACGCAATATGGGCAATGCAAAGCTACACCATTTGGCACAACAAAGCATAGAAGTCCTCGCAATTTTAAAGCTCTCATTTTAATATTCCCTTTATAGAAACAACACCGATCTTCACGGCAACAACCAAAAAATATACTCTCTTTTAGCTTTCTACGAAATAMTTTTTTCTTGTAAAAAAATGTCATGATTTTGACATGAATTGTTCCGTTTGAGCGCTGCAGCAAACATGTTGAAAGAATTGCCTTGCTCTGGTTTTAACTT